GATGTAATGTACCAGCTCTAGCTTGTTCGACTACACCTCTATAAATTTGAAAAAAATGATGTCCGATTGAATCTGGTGTAGGTTCGATTTGAATTCCATCTTGTTCGGTACTGTTCTCATTCTGGTTCTCGATCAGCATTACTGGGTCACTTGATGATGAACCCTTGGGAGCCAAACCAGGACATTGAGTCGGAAGATGATCGTCACCAAAACTTTTGATCACAACCCATTTCCATTCGATAGGACAAAAGAGTGCATTGGCATGGGGTCTTGCAAGGTGAAGTTCAGCTTTCGAGAGAATAGGAAATTTTGAATGTTCGTTAGATTCAGATCTGGCTCGAGGTGATCGAATAGGTTCAGAAGGTTCTGTTGTTGATTGAGCAGCCGGAGTAGGGTTTGAAATCTCTTCTTCCTTTTCAATGATAGGCAAATCTGGTAACTTCTCCCAACAAGTTCCTTGAATGTCAAATTCATAATCCCAAAGTTCATGTGGCCAAAGTTCGTTATGATGTCGAAAGTTAGTGGTATGGCTGAGCAATTTACCGGCTGTCATGGCTGGACATTCTGGGAATTGATTTTCGACTTGTAAGAGGAATGAAGGTTCTGAGTAAGCTGGTAAGTTGGCCATGCTGGTTTGGTGTAAAACTGGTTTTGGAGAGAAACCGTTGGACTCAGTCGAGTTTGAAGTTTGAGAAATCAAGTGAAGATGTCAGCTGAACTGTGGGGAAAATTGACATCTCTCGATTACACACATTTCACACATTTCATTCGGTACAGTGACAGTCACAGTGCGCGCTTGAACGTGGGCATTTCTCGACCCTTTGTCTCATCCTCAAGCACTTGATTAAGACCACAAAAGAAAACTCAATGGGAAAAACTCCACATCTAGTCTTCATTTAAAGAAATCACGAAGCGGAAAATAAATTCATCCCAATCTTTTGAAAGCCATCAGTGCAGATGTCCCTTGCACATGTAGTTTGGGTGGGTGTTGTTTGCCCACACTCTCAACTTTGCCAATCATCTGCTTCTGCAGAGTTTGAAGTTGCAAATTCCTTGGACCTCAATATTTAAATGATCCATGCACCAGTTTGTGAAAAGAGGTTGAGTGTGATCTCTTGTTTTAACATTAAAGCACATATAGCCTAGAGTTCATCCTTTTCAATATGTATGTATGCTGGTCAATTGTCCCATAAAGAGCTAAAGAAAAAGAATCTCTGAAGTCCTCAAGTGAAACTGACCACACCAAAACAATACCAAAAGCTCTGGTTGTCTAGAAATCTGTTTCATTTAGATATTTCAAGCATTTGGAATCTACAGGTCAATATCGAACTATCAAAAAATCATTTTGTTGAAAGATTTATACCATTCCTAAGCCTGAACATATGATTTTGGATTGCAAGATGAAAATGTCAAATGAAGCATCACAAAATGACCACATGGACAGTCTAGCAAACAGGCTTGAACTGCAAGGTCAGAGTTGATACATTCCTGTATGTCTTGATGAACCCATGTGGTTATTAATATCTGGATACTTGGATTTCAAACATTGCATGGATTGTTTCATAGAACCCTGCATTGGAAGGTTGAGGGTTCATTCTTTGTTCATTCAAGGTCACTTTTTTGGGTTTGGAATAAATCATCACATATATAATCAATTTCATTGGTGATTACTTCTTGCAATAGTCTAGATTATCTTTTTCTTTCTCTATTCGTGATATAAAAGCACATATGTGAAATTATTTGAAAAAACAGGTTGTACCAATGTATTCATTTCCTGACCTGACCTTGCTATCTCACAGAATTTTGGCATACATATCAATATTGGTCAATCTTGGCTCACAGTCAGAAACTATCTACAATAAGCTCAACCAAAGCTTATTCAAATTAGTATGTTTCCCCTTTCTTATATTTTACTTATTTCTTTCCAATCTTACACATTTGGTGGGGCATTCAAAATCCAACTAACTTTGAATGATCTGTTCCATATAATTTTTTCACAGCCACTTTGGGTTGAGATTTGGACAAGTTTGCATTGGTGTGAACCTCTTGATGGATCACAAGTCCTTAGTGGCTATATTAACCTACATGGGATTGGAAATGATGCAAGTCATAAAATATTACTTAGTCGAGCAGCTTCTGAATCAAGTGGTGTAGTTTTCCCACTTGTGCATGAGAAACTAAAGGGGAAGATGTAATATTCAATAAAGAGAAGTGCACAGGGACAGCAGGATTATGGAATGACCCTCACTTTCAATGGTTTGCCTGGTCAAGCTTGGGATAAACCATCTCAAGCTCCACAGTCTATGCAATACTCTGGATTCAAACAACAAGAAACACATCTTGAAGATCCTCCACAAGGAGAAGTTAATCAAAAATTCAAGTTGAGTATTCTCTTATATTGAGGTGTAGTGTTGGCAGCTGGTTGAATGACAGGCACAGGATTAGTTGTAGCACTTAGAGCTGAAAAGGAGTATGTTAAGCAGTCTACAAAGAGATATCAGACTTTTGTTTCAAATCATTCGTCCAGAACTGAACATTGATGCTTGTTGAAAAACATTGTTCCTAGTAAGGAAAGAAATATACTCAATAATTATATCAGCAAGAATACAATGAAAATATATTCATTTGATCAAAAAATACATTTCAGAGAGTCATTCATTTGAGAACTTGATATATGTTGGCACAGTAACAAAAAGGGGAATTATAACTTTAGATTAATGGGTGAAAAAACTGATATATCACTAAGATTAGAATGAATCTAGGAGTACACAACAAATATAATTCTTCCCACACATTGCACAAAACTTATATTATTAGTGCACACATAATTATGAATTCTGCAGGACAAAAAAGATTGACACAAAAAAATGATTATTCAGAACATGGAAATGATAATTGTGATAAGAAAATTTTGGAATGTGAAGGTCAGAGAAGAATAGGAAGATTGGTTTTTCATAATTTATGTTGAGCACACTTGATTTCTTGCTACTATAGTACCCTGCAGATTGTTGGCATAGTCACTCAAGTTATCCACCCATCAAACTACCCAGTCGGGTGGCATTTCATAAACAACCATAAACTTGTCTACATTGACAAAATCCCCTTGCACCTCTAGCACTCTAAAGTGTCATATTAGTGTAAACAAAGTAGACAGTAGACTGATGGTTCTCCTCAATTGAAACCTGTGACTGGTATTTTTGTGTAGATCATCTTGAACCTATCATATTCTATTGTGACATTAATCCTCATCCTAATCTACATCACATGTACTATATTTATTATTACATGAAAACTTTGAAAAGCATGTGACCTTCTGTGTTTTCTAGGCTAGGTTGGAAGGACCTCAAGTGCATAAGATTATCCACAATATACCACAGAATATCATGAATTTGGAGTAAGATAACTGGTGAGTAGATTGATACACAGCCAATACCCCACTCTTCTGCATAATTAAAAAAATTCTCCCTGTGAAGTCCAAGCTAGAATGAACTTGTTCCAATGATTTTTTTTTCCCAAAATCATCTCTGATTACTTAATTTACCTATAAAAACAATATACAGAATCAAATTCCATACCAATTCTATAGTTCAATTATCAAGTCATCTAATTCACTGGTAAACATGTGATACAATCCATACTATGGAGGATTACCAAATGTTGATGACTTGGGTTTATTACCTCAAATACTTCTCTGTGGACCTCTGC